GTCGTGGGTGCCTTATATCGTAAAATGCCACTGGCCGGTCATGGTTCTTCACCAACGCAGGAGGAAACTGACCGTTTTGTGCGACTTGTTCAAGGATTCACAAGGGTATGCGTCTTACAGATAAAATTGAGTTCCATCAACAAAGTTTCGTTCATAAAATTGCTTCATTTTTGAGGATCATCCAGGAGAAATCGTTGGGGTCCACTGCACACATGGTTTCAATCGTACGGGGTTTCTCATCGCTGCTTATATGGTCGTTGCCAAGGTAATTCACCAGACCGTTCTGATGTTCATGTCTCATGAGGTTTATCCAACCTGAACAAAAATTTCATGTTTGCAGGATTGGGCCGTAGATTGCGCAGTTCTGACCTTTGCCAAAGAACGACCCTGTGGAATCTACAAGCAAGGATTACTTGGGAGATCTTTTTGAACGATACGGTGATCCAGATGATTGTTTAGAGGTATGTCGTCCTTCACCTGTTGTGCTAATCCTCGATGTTTGTATCGGAACTTCTGCTTCAGTCCATTCAGTGTTGAAGAACTTCACAGGAACGGTTCTATTCCACGATTACGGCTCCAAAACTCAAAATTTTTCTTCACTTTGAGAGCTTATATGGTGCATTCATCGCGACTGTGACATCCTTTTTTGTCGCTGATGCCATTTGGCTCCACGGCGCTATTTATCGACGGAGGGGGGCATTTTGTATTATAATTGCTTCCCTGGTTCCGGTTTACAATATCTCTCTCTTGTAAAACTTGTGAACGCTTGTGAAGCTGGAGCAAGATCGTCTAGTCACCATTAAAACGTGTCAACTCGAAAAAAGCCCACCTAGATGGGTTGGCAAATCTATGAAAAGCAGAATGCCCCCCCCCCCCCTCCCGTCGATAGACAGTGCCTGGCTCCACTACCTTTCCTTGAAATCGATAATAACAATAGAAACATAATTGGGTTAGGGTTACTTGATGTCCTGATCACAAATATCGCGTCTATTTCTCGTCGCTAGCGCCAGTTAACGCCCTGCTTAGGCCAGACATGAGAGTGGGTGTGATTCTCTTCCTCTTCTTGAGTAGAGCGTAGATAATCAGTGGGCTACATCAGCTCGCGCGCCGGGAATGAATGTCATATTCGTAATTAGGGTGCCATATAAACCTAAAAAATCAACTCTATGCAATGGAAAGCAACTCTTCGATGGAAAGTCGGCACCAGTTTAGCGCCAGCGCCAAAGGTGGTTATAATATTCGTGACCAGGGCACCGATTAACCCCTACAAGCGAATTTCCAGCGAAAAAAAAACCTAGTCTTTGTGGTCCCGCAATAGCAAAATGGTGCCACATGAACCTACTGGAACACAGGAGTTTCATTGAATTTCAGGCCCCAAATAAACCATCCTGGGAGTATGGCGATGGCCGTTGGCTACGATGGTGAAGACGGAAGACCTATCCACAAACAGTTCGAGGATAGCAAGAGACGAGCTAGCGTTGAGAATCCACTGTTGCAGATGGTCTGGAACGCATTGGGAAGGTGAAAAAACTCGACAATTGGGTGCCCCACAATCGGAGTGACCGGCAGGAATCGGCACGTCTCGAGGTTCCTTCTGCATTGCTTTTGCGCAGCAGAAACGACCTGTTTTTGGGCCGAATTGTCACCTGTGATGAAAAATGGGTCATGTATGATAACAGGAGACGTCCGCGACAGGGTTGGTTTCGTCGAACCACCGGAGGATTTCAAAACTTACGAACCGAACCCTACGAAAAAAAGATTCTGGTCACGGCTTGGTGGTCATCGGCTGGTGTGATCCACTATAACTTTTTATCACCAGGCTAAACCATCACAGCAGAACCCTACTGTGAAGGAATCGACGAAATGTACCGAAAATTTTGTCAGATGCAGCCAACACTTATCAAAAGAAAGGGTCCGATTCCTTTGCATGACAACGCCCGCCCACACGTTTCACAAATCACTATCCATAAATTGAACGAATTGGGGGTTGAAGTTCTACCTCAACCGCCATATTCTTCAGACCTTCCACCAACCGAATATTCCCTTTTCAAACATTTTCAGAACTTCCTTGCTGGGAAATACTTCATCAAACAGGACCAGGCAAAAAAGCCTTCGTGGATTTCGTGAATTTTCGACCACCCAGTTTTTTATTTTGATGGGATTTCTCGACTGCTGTCACATTGGCAAAAGTGTGCTGATTCGAATGGTGCCTATTTCGATTAAATCCGATGAGTATTAAAAAGTTACGATCGTTTAAAGTGAAACACCCAAAACGCTGAGAACTTTCCG